GATAAGTGTTGGCTGCAGCTGACAAAATTTTCGGTACGATTCTTCACAGTAGGGTTCTGCTGTGATGGTTTGGCCTGGTGATAAAAAGTTATAGTGGATCACACCAGCCGATGACCACCAAACCGTGACCAGAACCTTTAACTTTCCGGACAACCTAATAAAAGCCTATCGATAATACTTCGATCGACTTGGTGCCCCAATTCAATATTTGCCTTATTGGGATCATCCAAGTACTTCAATCGAGCTTCACTGGAATAAATATCTCTCTCCAAGCAATCGAAACCCTTATGTATTCCGTTGGATTCAGATTAGGGTTCTGGCCAGCCAGGGCAGAAAAGCGACTTAGTGGTCGTTGAACCAGGTTAAGGTGGTACGATTGACGTGAGTCTTTGCAATCTCTTGCATATTAGCAGAATTCGGGTCGATTCCGACAATGAAGGGAAGGAGGCAACAGCACGCAATGTTAAAGGAATTTTAAGAACCCGTATTTGTCTACAAGGCGCAACGTCCGACACTAGGCTAATGCGATTGCAGCTCAGACCATGGTATCGGCCCCTTCGAAGCTTCTGTGGAAAACTTTTGAGTTTTCTCCTTCCTAGGATCGTGCTAGTAAGTTTTTCCCAAATCCACGTTGCGGGCAAAAAACCTCGCTCCAGTCGGTTTGGCTGCATCTTTTGGCGAATGCGAGCGGGTTTTCACAGTGGATTCTACTCATGGAGAGCGCTTTTCCCACTCTCTGTTGTATGTTGAATTTGGATCCTTTAGGGAAACGCTAAATAGTCTTCGTCAAGACACTGATCTTTGAAGAAAGTTTGACTCAGCCTGGTGGTATTAGATGTTTCTTTAAGAACACGGCGGAATGCGAGAATCTTTGTTTCATTCTTTGCGAGATCTTTGGCGAAATTGTAGACGAATGTATTTCTTTGGCTCATAGCTCGGACTATTTGACAGTTTGACAAACTCTGATTAATTTTGGCTAGCGTTGGCATAGCATTTTGGCAAAAACTTTCGTTCTCAATGACACAAGAGGCGATCTCGGACGAGTTTCTCGTGGGCATCATGCCAATAAGCGCTACGGTAGGTACGGCTGCATCTATACATTCATATATCTATGCAGTACACGGCCCCTTCATATAACTTTCTTCGCTTCAATTTTTGCATAGCAAATGAAGCAATACGAGCATCAGGTACGGTCGTCCATTTGTGGGCGGGCGGGCGCGGTGGGCGTCCGGGTCGGTATGTTGCAGCTTATTTAGGCTTATAAGGGTGCCTTCCGTAGGGAAGGCGCTATGCAGCGCCTGCTCAGGATGCGGAATTCCGTCTTGCCAGGCGTATTAATCCTACTAGTCCTGGGGATTTAGCGTGCGTGAAACGGGAAGTAGCACGCGTGTGTGTGCGTGTGCCACGAAATTCATAGCACCCAAGGAAGAAACTGGAGGGATGCATGGTGGGGATGAGTAGGGCATGGGACGCTATGTGAACAGCACACGTGACCCATGGTAAACCGCCGCAGTGAGGGGGCGTGCGCCGAAAGTTAGCGATGTCACTGAAAAAATCATACCCGCTTCCAGAGCAGCCTTGAGATGGAGAACAGTGCAGTAAAGTTTGAAAAAGGGCTGACAGACGAAACAGAGGAGCAAACCTAAAATGTGCGGATCGTACTTGGGTGGGCTGCGCTTTCCGTGTCACCGAAAAAAAACCATAATTTGGCTGCAAAGCAGCTCGAAGACGAGAAAAGTGGAATAAGGTCATCATTGGGTTGACCACCCACCGACTCTTATTCTATTGTTATCCTATCTAGTGATTCGGAATTGTATCGCATCATTATGGATGGGCAGTGGATCACAGCGCAAATCAATGGATTGTGATAGAGATAAGGATCTCCCACTTTGGCCTCAAAGACGATGAACCAAAATGTTGCATGCGTTGATAGCCTCGGAAAGCACTCGCTGGGTATTGTGAAAGAGCCTCGTCGTCTTCTAATCTTATAGAGAAAATTGATCATGTAACCATGGCGCCAGATTAAAAACTTGCCTCGGAACTGGAGGGGTGCGTTGCCGGTTTACAGATGTCTGACTATCTGCATCAAGAAATGCGCTGCTTTCCCATAGTAAAAGCAAAGCAAGAGAGAGAGAAGACTGTCAGGAACTGCGGCATATTACCTGAGTTGGTGTTGAGGAACATGGAGATGAAGTTGTGATAAGAAATTTTTTTCATAGAGGCTCTTGCAGAAATCTTTTTTCTGAGGGATAAGCGGCTGATGGAGTAGTACTTGAGAGGAACATAGTAGCCTGTCGCCCATTCGAGAGACCAAAAAAATGTGGTGGTGGAGATCGCATCATGGAAAACCAATACCCTTTTAGGTACTCTGAGATGAGGGTTCACCAAATGAGGCTTGCGCTCCAGAGCTTAACCAAAAATCTTTGCACACGCTTACGCTCGTCAGATTAGGTGGTGGAGGAGCTGGAACCGGATTGCTTCAACAAGCCGGTATATCGAACGCAAATGGGAAAGCTCAATACGTTGTTCGTGGTCTGATACTCAAATACACAAGTGCAAGAGCGCTCTCTCAACGTTTTTCCACCACTTCTCGAGGGATATCTGCAGCTTCCTTCGGTGGGGCTTTATGAATACACCTTTGCACGACAGTTCAATCTGAGTCCATCTTAATATTGCCTACGCCTCATGGCCAGGGGTTTCTCTGACCTCATCAAAGTTCGAGTGGACCTTTTCTCCTCACTTCAATGTCCGATCTCTAAACAGCAAGATTCCAGGAATTCATCACCTCCTGGAATCCTTGTGATCGTATGTAAAATCGACGGTGGTTTCGTCAGGGGTCCTACTCAGAGCCCTAAATGTTCCTCCTCCTATACATTAACGACTTTTCTGAGCGTTTTCGTTATGGTATCTAGTGCTCAATATAGCCGGATTACGCCAAAATACTGTACTAAGCAGCCTTTATTGTCAGAAACTGCTCTCGATGCCGCAGCGGATTGAGCTCAAAAGGCGGAAAAACCGTTCAAACGCCCTATATCACGTTGATGGAATTATGGTTCCGGTGACCGTGACTCTTGAAACCACTTTTCGGGCTACTGCCATTTGTTCCTGACGATTTTGTTCTGTTTTCTGTTGTTTAGTGAGAAGTGAACGTAAAAGGGAGAGGAGAGAAAAATGTTCTTGTCTACATGAGATACTTCAAAATGAAAATTGGATATATGCAAGTCATTCTATTAAGGTTTTGGCGTCGGGTGCCAACCGGCGCCAAAACCTTGATAGATGATGTAGACAATTGATGTAACCGTGCCGACTGCTGATGTTGGCGTGCTGAGGAATGATAAGGCTGCGTTTATACTTTGCGGCAGCGTAGCGTAGCGCTTCCAGCGTACGCCAGCGGCAGTGCCGGGGAGAGGATGCATATCGATCTAGCGTTCCCAGCGTCACCAGCGTCACGCTAGCGTACGCCAGCGTTTCACCAGCGTTTTGCTAGCGTTTGCAGCGGCAGGGGAGTAGAGACTATGGGAGAGCTGGAGGGTACAAAACACATCGATTGCGCGTCTCTCACTCGCCCTTAGTCTCTACAATACACATCGATTCCGCGTCTCTCACGGCCACATAGTCTCTACTCCCTGCCGCTGCAAGCGCTAGCAAAACGCTGGTGCCGCTGGAGAAACGCTCGAGAAACGCTGGTGAAGCTAGATCGATAGCTATGCTTCCCGTGCCCTCGCTACGCGCGTACGTGCGCTAGCGTACGCTGGTGACGCTGGTGAAGCTAGATCGATATCTATCCTTTCCCCGGCACTGCCGCTGGCGTACGCTGGAAGCGCTACGCTACGCTGCCGCAAAGTATAAACGCAGCCTAACGTTCATTTTCGATTTACTTCGTGTCTGGATGTTCGCGCTCTGCCACGGCTTAGAGTGGACAAAGGAAGCACTCCTTCTCTTGAGCTCTGCTAAGGGTGGGCTCGAAAAATAACATGCACTGCGCACTAAGCCATTTCTTTCAGGACCGCTTTCTTGTTCGCACCCCTATCATTTACCCCATGCACTCAACGTGGTCTTCTAGCCGTCTATTCACTATATTTGTTTATTTATATTGTATTTGTACTGACATTTGCATCGCAAACTTGGCTTTGAGAGCTTTATGAGAGATATCTAAAAACTTTTAACTGTGAAGATCACTTCCATATACTGTAGAAAGACAGGCTAAAGCACCTAAAAGCAGATTCTCTGAGAAGGAAGTTATGATCACGAATTTCTTCAGGAACTCTGCTGAGCTGGTTGATTAAAAATTTGTAAGTTTTCACTAAATCGTCAACAACTCGTCGTCGTACTAGAGCTCATGACAATAAAATCAAGAAAAAACGGTTCTGATCGAATTTTGAAATCTATTCGTGCAATGAATCATTATGCTATGGAGTGACATACCACAATCCGTCGAAAACTCAGGCTCGCCAAGCTTTTCTAGAACTAAGGTTAAGGAGATTATGATTATAAAGGTCGCTTTTCAGGAGCAATAAACTAGTTTATAATTTCAGTACCACAGAAGCGACACATCCATCTATAGATTGTTCATAGCATGACCGTTTTCTGATTTATGGCTTATTTCTGATGTTGATCTTGTTTCATCTTTTTGTGTATTCGTATTTACGTGTTGCACCTCTCAATTCTTTGCAAACCTAGGCTGGATGTCGCAAATGGACCTACTAGGCCAGTAACAGGAGCTCCTAAAGGATTGTGTGCATGTTAGCCGTAGTGTTGTCGGCTACTGCCCTTCAGCGCTGATGCTCGACTTCACGGTGCTCTACCCGAACTCTCTCTTTCACCTATCGGAGAACTGTTCCCTGTTTTTTAACGCTTCTGTGATGCAGTTAGCAGCCAATAGTGAACCATTGATTTAAGAGAACTCCATGTAAGGATGATACTTATGAAGTGGGTTTCAGAACCATGACATCATCACAAAATCACCATATGAGATGGTGGAGATCTATAAGTTGCTTGGTGGTGCAAATGACGTAGAACTGACGCCGTGCCCGAAAGAACGCTGGGATCACAGTAAGAAATGGGATGCGCGCTCGTTGAAACTCTTTGTGAATGGTTAGTATGCACTTATACCCATTTTTACATGAACTTCCCATCAACTATTTGCATTTTTTGTGCACAGTACCTCACTTTTTTATCTGTACATTTCCCGATAACGTTGGGCTTTCTCAGCGTTGTAACCCTACGTTGTGTCCAGTTATTCTATAGAACATAAATGAAGTGCAAAGCAGCGAAGAACCACAAAAGAACTTTCTTGATATCAGGACACATTTTCCTATACCTTGCTTAGCTTTTTAATTCTTTATCGCCACGATTAACTCAATAGCTGACCAGCAGTAGCTGGTGGGCTCCCTCTTCGCATATGTCATCGCCAGCGGCTCTTACAGTGAATCCCACCAATTCTAGATTTCAATTCCCTTATCATTTCGTAATCTCATCATCGCGGTGGTAAGTGGTGGGCTGTTGATCATTTGCATAAGCCCTATATTACATCTTATTAAACTCATCAGTGTAAGAGCTGCACTTTTGCTTATGAATCCTATTTCATTCTTTAAAATCTCCAATAGCCGGCTTGTTTCGTCAAGTGATCAGTAGTTCTACCCATAGTAGTTCGATGCGGTTAGCAGACTTCTATGAAGCAGTCGAATCATATTTTTGAATGGCGATACGATTGAAAATGCGTCAGATGAGCAACAGTCGTGCAACCCAAACTTTTTTATTTACTGGAGCACGTCATACGTAACCATATACGATGATATTTGCTTCGTTACCTGCAACAACACATGAGGCTCTTCGTTACCATGAACTTCATTCCCGCATTTTCAGGTGCATTTATTATTATCACGGTCTCCTACGTGCATCGTCAACAATGGGGTCCCAAACCTCAAGTCCCATTACCCTGCCGCTAAAGAAGCAGTAATTTGGGGGAGGTCACACTGCAGGCCTTTTCCAATTGGTTGAAACAGTGGAAGGTAAGGTAAGGTAAGGGGTAGGGGCTGTGAGGGGGTGGAAGTCAAGAGGAGTAGGATCTTAAATGACACTCATTCGGCTGCATTTGCGTGCCACGCCATTCGATTGGATCTGATGACGCTTGGTTTTTAAGGGGTACGCTGCTTAAAGTCGTTGTCTTTTACTGCTGGCGTATATCCAGAATATGTCGAACTTTGGAAGGAATAACTTGTTTCTAAGTGATGGAACAGAAGACCCAGAAGTAGCAAAGATATTGTCAGCTGCTCGTTTTCTGATTGCTCCTATACTGTTTCATAATGGACGATTGGTCAAAGCGTATCATAGTAATGGAGGCCATAAGTGCTTCTCTGTAAAAAAAGTAATCGTCTCCCACTCATATGTATGACTTTTTAAAACTTCTCGCCTGACGTGTGCCACAATGATCCCATTCTATTAGGTTCGCGGGAAAGTTCTGTCACATTTTTCAAATTAGGCTTTCTTTTTATAGAGAGGCGTGTAAGATCAAAATTGTACAGCAATGTTACTGCGGGGTTCTTGCCAGTTTTGAGCACCTCATGGATGCCATCGCTTCACAATGCGGCGCTACTCAAAACTGGACATCGTCTCGATATTGGGCACAAAAGGTGCAACTCAGGCATCGCTTTCGCGAGCAGCTGTGGAATGGTTGGTCACTACAGGGTTATGTCGCGAAGGAGCTCCTTGTCCATATAGCGGGAAGGTATAGAAGGCAACTAGCAGTCGAAAGGAGCAATGTCTGGGCTACACCAATGCAAGGGGAGAGCCATCCAGCTCTATTGCATGAGGTACGGCTCGAACTTTTTTGGACGGAGTGCGCTGCACTATCATGATGAGGGCGGGCTGTGCGGACAAATTTTTCCCTCTGATCGACGGTACGCTTTAGATCTCGTAGCTGCTTTGCGTACGCATTGACCGAGGAAGCAGCTTCTTCATCCAGCAGTTTCCCGACCCACAGCTCCCTCAAGCTGAGCAGGTAACCCAAACCTCACTTCGTCATCAAAACTGTAGGCTCCCTAGGCTCCCGCCTTGAAGCATTACCGTCGTGGGAAGGTTGCCCGATGATTGAGGGCATCGTCCTTATTCAGCTCCATTATTTTGGCATCTGCAGCTATCATGCTGGCGTCAGGGTGGTGGAAGAAAGAGTTTGAGGAAGCGTCTGGAGGGGTCGGTGCCGATGGTAGCGGATAAAATCCTTGTCCATATTGCAGAAGAAGAAGCAGGAGTCAAGCGAGTGGTACTAATAGAAAGACCACTCCTTGATGTATAAGTGCTTACATTACCGGTTACCCCTCTTGGTAATGACAAGTATTTTGAGTACGAAAAAGGTGACAGATTTTTCCCGATAACCTACGACTTTGACCGGTTGTAAAACTCACAATTCCACGAACTTTGCGTTCAGTCCAATAAATAAAGGTGAAGGAAGCTGAATTTACAGGAAGCACGTCTATTTGCTAGCGATATTACATTATCAAAACTCAGACAAATGCTATTCAAGCAAACTTCGATTCCAGAAAGCTCGGCTTCACCAACGCAATTGAACGCGAGTCTGAGGTTCGCAAAAGGTGCAACTCAGGCATCGCTTTCGCGAGCAGCTGTGGAATGGTTGGTCACTACAGTCAATCTCACAACCCTTATCACACAAATAAACGAAGAGGTACATAAAGCTATAACTACATCTGCGGCTTTCTTTTGTGATGATGATCGAGTTCGCAATCCCGTCATCTTGTTGCCCTGTAATTACGCTACCACGCTTTTTCCCAATTTTTCCATTTTCCTGTTATCTTTTCACTACTTAATCTCCTCATTTCCTAATTTCTTTATTCTATTCGCTTTTTCCCTTTATGAGTGCCTATTTATTCTCAGTGACTTGCTATGTTTCATTTTTATGCAAATCTTCCTGCAACCGCTGCCTGCCTGGCTGCGACTAGGTAATTTTTCTAGCAATTTGGACACACGAAAATGTGTGAAAACAGTGAGCTCAAAAGGGTTGTTAGCATCTAGCTTATGACAATTTGAAATAACTGATACAGGAAGTCAAATGCTGAGTCGATTGTTTGTCATAGATACCTTTCAGTGGTATACCGTTTCGTAGATGTACAGGGGGGCCAAAAAAAGTCATTTCGGCCGAGCCACATATCAACGAAGTTTTCGCAGCCCAGACAGGGGAAGTGGATATGAGTACCAGAGTGGAAGATACCCAAGATCTTCCTCTATAAGCTGGAGCAGGCTGCCGCCAATCGCCTTCATGTACGCCAAAATATGAAGTCATCTCCAGTCGCGGCCTGACTGGAGAACACCTTTGGAATTCACGTCGCCTCCAAACAGCTGCGAAACTTCTTGAATGAAGTCATCCACAGATAGCTACCTGGAGGTCAGTACTCTTGATCTGCAAGACCTCCCACATCGAGCAGCTACGGCAACGTCGCTACGGTCTAGGACATCATCTTCACCCCATTCACCAAGGCGCGGGTTGATGGTGTGGACCGGCCGTACCTGGAATGGGAAGACCGATATTTTCTTTGTAGACCCCGACTGAAGGTGAGCGCTGGCGGTTACATCAAGTAACTCGAGAAGAATATCCTCCCTACATGTGGTCGCCCGTACCTTCTTGGAGACCTTGTGCTGCTACAGGTTTGGGTGCCACCACATGGAATCGAAGGGTTTTGGAAAAACTCCCGCCTACTTCGAATGGAAGGGCGTTTCGTACCTGAAGAAGATGTAATATTGAAGTATGTCCCCTGACCTGAACCCACTCAATTACCTAGTTCGGGCGGAGTTCAATAGGGTGGTCTACGGTGGCGGAGAAATCGACTACCCCGCTGATCTCAGGTACCACATCGCGGTCGCGTGCCAGAATCTCTCGATGGCGCTCGTCCAGAAGGCTGTGGCGGAGTGTCGTGATAGTACTTAATATGCTCTTCAATATGGTAGTAAGTCCGATCAGAATTTGATAAAGTGTAATTTATAGCGCCTCGAAAGTCAATGAGGCAAAGTGACTTTCTTTGGCCCACCCCCTGTAGTCTAGTGCGCTGCAGACGAGCTGTGGAGTAGTGTGGCAGGAGGAATGACTTCGGCGCGGTGCCAAGCCCGTTCTCCACCAGTTGTGAAATGAGGAAGCGCCAAGACTGTATCATATCGTAGATATTACTTGTTCCCTACCAATGTCGCATATCCGCTTTAACAACTGGCAAAGCATAGGTATGACACCGTAGCGCTCCCATATTACCTGACACTCCCTCCATCCGCAGCGAACTAGTGTATGTCTGTCTATATGCCTGTCCGTCCTCACAGAGATACGTGAGTGTGATAAAGAAATGGTGGAGAGAGATTCAATGATAGCACAAAAGAAAACAAGTTGGCATTGTTATGCCAATCCAACGTGATACCACGATTGTGGTGATCCCTTTCTATGCTGAAAGGCATTCATCGTGTGGGAAACTGCTTATTATCAATCTGCACTCTAATATTGAAGGGGAAACATCCTCCATCTAACCACTAGAGTACACCCACTTGCGGTTCCACAGTTAGACTAAACAAGCAATTGTATGCTACTTCGGTAATGAAGCGGTTGGAAGGATTGCGCCTGAAAAAGAGCAACACGAAAGAGGGGGACGAGTTGACCAGTTATTCCGATAGGTGACATCCCTATGGTCGCGTTTGGATGTACTTTGGTATCTTTGCATCCTTCCACGTTTTGTAAGGATGCAAAGATACCAAAGTACTAGTGGGGGGCTCATTTGGTACTCGAAAAAAGAATACCAGAATGAGCCAGCGATTTTGAATTCATCAAATTGCAAGTCTCTAGTCCGACGGAGGCTGCTTAATGGGGCAAAGATTTCCACAAGTACGTCCACGTTGTAGTACAAGTGTTAGTCCTGGTGTTTCCGTGACTTTCTCTTCCTTTGCATTGTATTGGGTTGGGGAATAGGGTCGTTCGGTTTTTTTCAAAGAGCTTTATTTAAACCAAAACAATACTTATAACAATAAATTAATCAAATGTATTCTCCGTCATTGTTTACGACCTCCTCCCACCTCTCGACCAATTTGTTGATGCCGTTCCGCCAAAAATCGCCAGGTCTAGTGTCGAAGAAGTTGTTGAGCCAGTTTTTGAGGTCCTCTTCGTCTTCGAAGGTAACACCCCTCATTTGGTTTGACATGGAGCGGAAAAGGTGCTAGTGATTGAAAGACTTAATTTATATGGTACCAGGGATAACACAAATTGGCACTTTGGAGAAGATACCAACAAACCATCTTTACTTGTAGTTTTTTCGCAGTGCATTTTGCTTCTTTATTTCGGACTGTACGGAAGATAACGACGCATTCAACATTGAACGACCATCATATGAATGACCCTCATATAGGCAAGCGCCTCCCAAATACCATCGGTAGTCCTAACATAATGAATAGGAGTGGGACGTGCGTTGCACTTCGAAGAAGGGCAGGACAATGTTAGATCATCGCATTCGCTCCATGAGAAGCTGTCAATCATACTCTAAGCAAAGCCGAATTTACGAAAATGGCCCTAGAATTCATCTCCTCAAGAATCACTGGCATGTATCCAAGCAAGATTCGAAATCAAAAGCGAGTCGAAATCGCGTTGAGCTGGATTGCTTAATAAGTTTTGCAGCCGCGACAGGAAGGAATGGCTCTAGCCGAAAGTGCTGAAGTCGAGCACGCCACGGATCGTGAAGACACAAGCTCTGTACTGCATTGTGGTTGCACGCATAAAACTCGAAAAACTGATACGTGCCCATCAGGGATAGCAAGGAGTCAGGAGCCAAACGAGCAGAAGGCCGGCCAAGATATTCACAGAGTTAAACAACGAAATTCGGAAGCGGTCTGAAAATCATGAGTTCTCCCAGGGAGCAAGTCGAGGAAATTAATTAAGACCGGAAACAGTGGAGAAAACTCGTCGCCGTATGTGCTCAGTAGCATGGAAGTTACTAAGTATAAGTCTCCAGATAACGACGGTAAATGCTCCAGTGTTTGCTAGCATGATGAAGAAATACACATGCAATAGCTTTTTCGTAGAGGCAAGACATTTATGAAGGAAAGCGAACGACTGTGCGCAATAAAAAAATCAAAAAAAGTGAACTGGTAGCATAACATATTAGGTTGTCCGGAAAGTTCTCAGCGTTTTGTGTTACTATTTTTTGTACATTCATTGCTGATTAAAAACTCATTCTGCCTTGCTTCTCAGTAGTACATCCTGAAGAGAATTTTTTGCGCTATCTGATGGTATAATTACCGTTTCACCCTTGCTTGATGAACCCCCTTTTCCCAAGACCTTTTGAAGCATGATCGTAGAGGTCCTAAAGCAATACCTGACGAGGATCTGAAGCTATTTGTGGAGGGTGACTCATCTCAATAGTTCGAGAGATTGCACAAAAGCTAGGCTTTGGCAAATTCACTGTTGCGGCTTGCTTTGCACAACAGAAACGATCGACGCCGTTCGCGCTTTTGGAACGCGAATGTCACGCCCGTGTGATGAATAGGAGATTATGTATGATAACAGGAGATGTTTCGGACAGTTGGATGCCGGCGGACCCCTGAGGCAATTTCCAAAGCCGAATCCTCACGACAAAAAGGTTATGGTCACAGTGTGGTAGTCATCGGCTGGTGTGATCCACTATAACTTTTTGTTACCAGGCCAAACCATCACAGCAGAGTCCCTGTGAAGAAATCGACGAAATTTGCCAAAATTGCGTCAGCTGCAGCCAGCACTTGTCAACAGAGAGGGTCCGATTTCTTCTGACAACTGGCAACGCCCCGCGCAAAATCACTAATCCATAAGTTGACCGAATTGCCCATTGACGATGAAGACAGGGCTTTGCCAAATGATTCATACAACATTCATTTCTCATGGGGCATTTTTCTAATGCCGCATTTCCTGATGGTGCAGTTGCTCCGTTACTAATCATCCGAGGAGGATGTTAGTTCCCCAAACCGTAGCCTGCCGCGTTGACCACCACGCCTTCTCCACGAGTCACACTACCCACTATTGTTTCTATTGCTTTCAACGGCCGCGGTCTCAAAGCGTTGCAGTGTCCACATGGTGAGTCGCGCCTGCATCTACAATGAAACGGGAAATCGGAGGCTTAACGTTTCTCTCCATTTACTTTACAATGATATGCGTCAAAGATTCCGCTGTCTCCCTGAAAAGCGTGAGGAGCCTTGCGAAGTCAAAATTTGCTTATGTTTCGGCACTTTTGTATAAATAATAACCATCACGTCACCTGATGGTAATAAAACCTATCAGCCTACATCTTTTTTGTTGCCGCTTACATGCCGCCGCCGCTATGTGGAACTTCCCCTTCATGTATACCACTGACATACGCCTTGTAAGCATGCGTTAGTTTCCTAGCTCAAAAGCGCAGCAGTTTTGTTTGCGCGCGGCGTCTGCGTCTATCGCGTACATGTCGTGTCGCGAAACATATTCGTTCGCAAGGCTTTCTTATTTACAAGTTAGGTTCGACAGAAACACCGATCGATTGAACAGTAAAATTTACTGCTTACAGCCCTTTGGTGTTGATGAATTCTGAATTGCATATTATTGCAAATCACCGACGGTTTGAATGCCGGACGATTTACTTCAGGATGTGTGGAACAAGGAAAGAGCACTCAACTTATAAGCAGGTGAGTGTGCTGCTTGTCTTCAAAAGCATAACCCTAGTGCTGGGCACATCGCACGTTGGCGATACGCAAGGTGGAACGGTCGTTTTTGGTCGATTGATTAGAGGGTGATCGTTGGCCAGGTAAAATATTTCTGATTGCTTCAATTTCACGTTAACCATTTAAATACCTCCTCTCGGCTCCCCAGAGCCATAGTTCACCGAAAGATTCTATCTTCCCTAACTATCCCCCACGAAAAATTTGAGAAGAGGTTTGGTAAGGTGGTTGGTCGGTTGCCGAAGAGTTCTAGCGAAAGGGTAAGCCTGGTTTGGGGAAGGGACACTCGCGGGAATTTCTTGCAACGCGGAGACGTGCCATACCCTGGAGTACCAGGATAACCAAAAGTGCTTTGACCTGACAGTTTACGACAGCTAAGGAATGATATTCGGCTCTGAAGTGAACCATAGATTGAGGAGAAATGGAGTGCGAAGTTACGCTAACACTACATATGTCAGCGTGATCGTTATAACAGGGGAGCTGGTGTGGCCTTTAGTGCAGGCCGCCCGAGACAGCTTGAAAACCCATCAAGGCCAAGAATCGAAAAGAATCGCTGACAGTAGTAAATAGAATTTTGACAGTAGCAACAGTGGTAACAGGGCACTAGTAATGTGGCTATAGGTGCGAGCCCATCAGGTAGCCATCAGATAATATCAAACTGACACATTCTTCAAAGATGCTGTAGAACGTAGAACGTCTTCTGGATCCATTATCACGACATGTGGACATTACATTCAAACTCGAAGAAGAGCGTTTTGCCACGATGCAGCTTCAACTCGTTTATATTTTCACCACCTGGATAGTTCAAATGAAAGCGGGACACGGAGACGATGTATTACCCACAACGAGAGGCACTCCATTCTACCCTTTCTTTGAGGTGAACTTCTGCAATGTGAGTTAAGATTCTGTGCGCTTGGTGTGTCCTGCAGTGCAAGAACTTCTAGATAGTCACTTCCAACGGTTTTTGTGCATTCTTCAGACTGACGCGCTTATGACAGACGCGACAGCGGCGGCCCTAGGAGTTTCGTCGTGATTTGAACTTTTTCTGAAATTTCCTTTCTCTTTTTTATTATTTTCACCTCTCCTCCACTAAAGTTCGACAACTCCCCGCGTGTAGTACCACTGCACCTACTGTGTCAGCCATAAAGCACGAACATTCAGCTGTATGGCAATTCACTTGCTCTCACTAGTGACGCCACACCGCTACCCTCATTCTACGGAGCCACTGGCTTTGCAGCTATTAGCAGTGCTCACATACCAGGATTCATTCGCAGCAAACTTAACACATTTATTAAGTTATTGTCACACATTTATTAAGCGAAGGTGGAGTAGACAAGAAATGCAAATAATAGTGGGGGAAAACTACTTTAGTGATGTACATCTTGATAGATTGATTCACTTTTTCTATAAATTTTCTGCAAGAAGTTTGGTGTGATTCCGCAGAAATGTCCCACTGCCGAGTAATGACGTAAAAACTGTTGCCGATCACGAATATGTTCGTCGATCAAAATCTGTGTTCTTTGGAATAGAAGTTTCCACTCTCGCGAGAATATCCAACAATAATAGAGCAAAATAAGGTTGGGGTGCAATATTTTTATGCATGCGCTTGAACTCAAACGACTGGAAGGAAATAGTCTAGAGTGTTACGTGTGTGTGAGAAGTACAAGTGTGTGAGAACAAATTGACATCCTCCTAATGCGCTTCTGACATTGACTTCAGATAATCTTTTGCCCAACTGAAACTGATCTTGTAGCTATTTACGATTGGTTATTAAGAGAATGAATACTTTGAGAACGAGTTTTTCTGCAAATAGTTCCAACAAAACTAACATCGCGGCTATGCATTTTCGTAGCCGCGCCATCTTACTGAATTCATCCTACAGATCCCCACTCTTCCGAGCAACGCTACCACTTCTGAAAATATACAGTAGAAAGCCAAAGGTAGGAAGGAGGTAAATGATTGGCTACGAAAGGCCAAATGTTTGTTCTGAATAGAATTCAAAATTTGAAAAAAGCTCACAGCATTCCTTAATCGCTTTTCATTTGGGATAGACTGCTTCTATTGACTCTGAGTTCTGTAATGCTTGATGCATATGTTTTTTGCCGGTGTGAGGTCGGGGCCCCCTGGAGAAGTACGTATGGTCTGATGGTCGCCCACCCTCCCTACAGCCCTGACCTCGCTCCTTCTGACTACTGGCTGTTCAGCCACCTGCAGCGCTCTCTGGACGGAAAAAAGTTCGAAACAAAGGATCAGGTCAGAAAGGCACTCGACGACTTCTTCAAGTCCCAGCCCCCGTCGTTCTGGAAGGATGGAATCGACAAGCTGCCTGAGCGCTGGCGTCGAGTAGTGGAGGAGTGGATGGCGATGGTGCATACCTCTTATTTTCAGGCTCTTTCGCTTTCGAGATATTTACAAAAAAGTCAGGGCTAAAAACATATGCATCAACCTAATATTTAACGCTGGAGGTTCCGAGTTTCGATGACGGTTTACTAATCTAATCTTTGACCGTGATCTCTTTGCAATCAATTCTTTTCTCATTGTAATTGTTTCCTTTTATCTGAGTTAAAAATAACCAATCAGCAGTACAATTGCTGCTGAGAAGAATAATACGTGCTAGGCTCTTAAAAAGGTGGCATGTTAAGGCAATAGTAGACATGCAATGCCTAGGCTGGAGATTACAAGCAGGAACAGGTAATTAATGTGGCAAGGTTGTTACCTAGAGTCGAGCATAGAAGAAAGTTGGCTGTTCGGAACGACACTCTCACCTCCCCTTCCAAGTGGGTTTGAATGCGACCACGCCTTTTTTGTATCGTGAGTGAAATAATGAAAAGCAACTCAACCAGATTCCAACACATTGCTTCAAGTGCGTGGCGTGTCGTCATTGACCGCGCTGGTTGTTATCAAAGAGTCGAAAGGCGTCTACTGGGTAGATACCAAACGAGAACCGAGGGAGGGCTCTGGGCTTTTCATCAAAATAAGCTATAAAGGTTTCTAAACACGTTTCAGCAAGAGACGATAACTTTGAACGACAACTTCCAGAAGTTCACCACTCAAAAAATCTGCCGTTGTGAATTTTTTCCCAATGATGAAGAAACAATGAAAATTTCCTAAGCGAGCACAAGTTCTAAATTTTCAGCGTCTGTAACTAAATCAGTATCGAAGGCAAAACAAGAAAAGTGCTGGAGGGAGAAAAACTCTCTTCTTCTCATGGCTGCAGAACCGTTTACAAAGGTCCACTTTCCACAATTCACGGTTAAAGATTTTTCCCAGCAACGAGGAAACTATCGTCGCAACATATCGCAAGATGTCCTCTTTTGAGAAGCCATCCACACATAACTTTCGAGGAGTAAGTATTAGGTTGGACGGAAAGTCCTGCGTCACTGACCAAATTTTCGGACCAGATTTTTCCTTCACTAAAAGACACCTCCAATGTACAAGGTAACCATAGTTGATGACTAGGACTAGTGCCCATCTTTTGCACAGCTTCTCATTTCCATTCTCATAGAACTACGGCAACTATGATAAAAGAAGAGGTGGACCTCATTTTCGAGTAGACGTCGATTTTCGGAATTTTTGCTTTTTAAAGGATGCGGTAGGGATCAAAGGAGGTGGTAATTAGAGGCTGCTAACTTTGATAAATAAGCTGGGTACGCATTCTCTGATCGAGATCCATGATCTTTTGGCGTAGCCTGATCCCCACATGCGGTCTTCGCATTGCCGAGTAGTAGAAATTGAGTATTTCTGAATGAATTCAAGCGTGACGTCATCCATATTTTGAAGTTGATTAGAGTGGACTGTGTCCTTACAGCTGTGCTAGTATCCAGCGATACCGCTTTGAAGTCCCACCAATAACACACTGAAATCTTTATCCCATGCACATCTGCTTTTGGCTAAGCAATCTACTTTCTTTGAGAGATCCTGCGAGGGACATGTGCATGATGTACGCAAGGACTCCACCACTCGCTACCAACCACAAGATCTCACAAATGTTCCTTCCAGTGTGTGCAAGCAAAAGAAAGCTCTGTCACAGTCATTCGGTATGACTTATCAGACGGGTCCAACTCGAGGCATCCTTCACAAAAATTTTTCCGATAACCGAGATTACGGAGAAGCGTGGCAGTTATCAGTTAGGTGGAGCCTAGAGAGTTTGCCGACTTATGGTGGTTACGTTCGGCTGCGCCTCAAGAAGCTTGAGTAAAGGGCCGTCATTCTGTGCTGGTGGCGACCTATACATTGCCTACCGCCGAATTAAATAAGTCCAGCTTGGAAGCGCTGATGCAAAAGCTTCCTCTGCCATGGCAAGCGACATCCTTTCTGAAGACAAGCGCGTGTGGTAGCTCCCTCGACTGAGCCGGAGTGGCCTACAGGAACTCATAATATGGGATAGGTCGAAAAGTACCTCGATCTCTGAGGGACTTTTAAGCTTTGAAAACTTCCACGGAGCCATGATATACCCATTTTGCAGAAACCCCAGAGGACAGTCTCCACTAATCAGGATGAAAACATTCGAAATGATTTTTGGTCTTTTTCTAGAACAATTCAATCGAAGTGTCGCAGGACTTTCCGTCTAACCTAATAACAACTATTGAGAAGTGAGAGCGTCACCCTTTTTGATTTTGCTAATCTTTTATCACTGCTTCAGTTTCACATAGAAAGTATAAGACCTAACAGGTGCTCTCACTATTGAGAAACCATCTCTAGGTAGCCTTATCTGGTTTGTTTCTTTCGTTAACAATTACCGTGAATATTCTTTGTACGCTTCTCAAGCAGGGCATGTTTCCGCAGTCCTATGGGGCTATGGCACAAGATGAGATCCGCTACATTTATAAACGTTTAAATTTTTATGCCATACTAAGAGATGCAATTGGTTCCGAAAAAAATGAGACTGGTATTAGACGTGCACCAACGTGTCGTTTGTACTTTAATCATAGGACTGTGCACAGATACTCCTCTATTCGAGCCAAATGCAAATGGAGTTCATTGAGAACAAAGGCCAGAGTAGAGGAGTCACAGTAGGCAAAATAAAGTGAAAAAGACGATTTAGATGTTGCCGGAGTTCGACTACGCTATTGTGGATTGCGTTCATGAAATGATCTTCAACCGGACCTTTCTCGGTCAAGTGGACCATCCGCTAGACTCGGACTACTACAGGAATATGGTCAATGTAAGCGTCATGTCTTTTTGATGTTACATTTACATTTGCATTTCCATTATTTCGAAGACTTCGACGTCAGCACTACGGCAAGCCTGGAGATGCTAGAGCGCTCAGAAGCGGCAGTGATAGTTGTTGAATTTCGTGCAACGTGATCCTTTCATAGTGATTGTGAAATGAAGACATGCAGTTCATTCAGCGCCTACTACGTTTTCCGTACTACCTGAGCAACTCATTCAAGGCTCACCAAACAGGGCATCCGCTGTTTTCATATCCGAGATCATGGACGAGAAATCCCACTTTTGTAATTAAATGCAGTGTGAACTTGTATTAGAATCTAGCGTGTTTGCTGCTGCTGCAGACTGCTCGAACCCGCCACATTTCCTCTACGTTTTGCTGTCTCTTTGGCTTATCTGAGTTCGCTCAAACATGCAGTTTGCACTCTATCACGTAGACCTTGGCCACGTGCGAGGTGAGTCGGTCCGCAGTCGCAGAATACGCCAGTTTCACCACTTGGACGTGCTCCGAAACGAATCCAGGAGTTAGTGAGGGGCGTATGCCGCATCCGCCTCCACCATATGCAAGCACGCAGACGTGCAGCAGGCGCACAACCAGGCACACACTCAATTGCAGCTGAGTCTTCTACTAGTTTCCTTCGGATCCACTACCTGCTAGAAACAGCTCCACTCCTTGCTTTCGCAACCCAACAAGGTTCACTGCTCTACGACATTGGACCATACGTTTTCAATATGACACTTTTCGGATCACAAGGCTCGGTTGGGGAATTGACCTGTGCCATCTCTTCTTGTCTCCCAGCAATGGGCAAGAAATTCGATTTTAGAACATATTTCAGAAACGACATAAGTAGGTTTTTTGAACGAAACCACAGAGCTTCTGCTAGCAGTGCCTTGAGACTATGCCCAGTTGCCGGCAAAAAGTCAGTGATAAGGATGTTGCGCATAATACCGATTAATGGTGCTTGCCGTTGAGAAGAGTTCTGCTCAAAAAAGTTCCAAAATGTCGCTATCCCAGAAGGCTGTACAACGAAATCTTCAACGCAATTTCTTCTGCTTCTTCTCTTCTTTCTTCTTCTGTCCGCGTTCTGTACGAGTTCCGCTCTTCGCCGATATGATAGCCCACTTTCTTTCGACTTCATGCCTAATAGTGATCATGCCTAAAGCTAATTTCAAGTCCGTATGCAGTGTGTGAAGCCAGCGTTGATTGGCAATACTGTTGGCCGCTTTCCCAGTACCTCAGGATGGAGGCCAATTTCATAAAGGTTGTAAGCCTTCGCACGAAGTACATGACCGTACCAACGAAGAAGGCGCGCTCCTCGCATGCTGTCAGCTATAGCAGCTACACCGAAGCTTTTGCGTGCGACATCGCAGCAGATGCGGTTCATTCGCGTAACGCTCTCCGTCCATTGCAACGTTTTCATCTCCTTCACCTACTTGAGGGCCAAACTCAAGTTCTTTGATCGCGGGCCAGCACCCTGCACCATATAACACAACCGGTTAAAGGGCAGTTCTATGGATCTTCGAGTTGACACAGTCCTACATTTTTCTGTCGCAAAGAGCCCTAGACGTAGCTAGCCATTTCGACCATGTCGCACTCACTCGTGCGCTCACACGAGTTCTGAGTTCTGAGCCCGCGTCATCTGACCGAATTATTTCAATGTTGCTGCACTGTTGAACGTTGTGTGAGCGATCGTGATGGAAGCGGGCGCATTTAGGTCAATTGTCAAGTGCTCGCTTATCTGACGTTTAATGATGGCTTTTTGAAGAGTTCAAACATCGATAGGCTACCACCCCAAGCTTGCACCTTTTGTTCTGGCGCGTTCTTCGTGGGCAGGCTTAACATCATCAACGTGAAGAAGCGTCCGAGGAACTCCTCAATGGAGCCGTGAAATGGCATCTATAACGGCAACGCAAAAGGGTGGAAAGTGCGGAGCCCTGGTGTACACTCAGACGGAGCATAGAGGCCTTCATCGAGTGCCTGCAGCTCTTCAAACTTGTCCTATGGGTTCGAGTAATGATGCACACACGCTCGATCAACTCTTCGGGGATCCAAAGTCTCAGAGCCTACCGTATGACTACAGGCCACGTGCAGGTGCTTCTTCTCGCGATGTTTCTCAAAAAAGGCGAGCGACATGTGTAGCGTCGACGACGCTACATTCCGCTATGAAGCCACATTGACTGGTGGGCAGCTGGATATAATCACGAAGGCATCCATCAAACGGTTCGCTCGAAAATGTACATGCTTAACGCGAGAAAGGCGAGTCGGACGGTAGCTCGAGCGATCTGCTAGACTGCCCTCCTTCTTCTTCAACTGAGATAGCTCTGGAACTAGCCTTTGTGTGCCGTCTCGTCTTCAACAATCTGTTAAAGAGCTTTGCCAACCGTAGAGAAGCAGCGCTGTGATTTGCATAAATCAGTTGCCAAGTCGTCGAGGACTGTTGCTCTGCCGGCTTTGATCTTTTGCGGAGCAGCTTCTGTTTCCTAGACGGAGGTTCTCTAAATGGGTCATATATTGGCGCGGTACAGTTTGAAACTGAATGGGCGAACTCTACTGTTGGAACGCCCTCGAAGAATTCACGCCACCGTTGCAGTCCCTCCTTCGGTTCATCAGAATATGACCATCTCGTTGGTTATTCCGAAAATGAACTTCTCTATATCTTCGATTTGGCGATGGTGAGATTTGGCAAGTCCTTCAGGTGCCGCTCCCAGTCGCGCGTCTCCAACCCCAACCTTCATCGTCACCGGTGTTAGCAAACTTCACAGCAGACACGGCCTTCCAGCCGCGCTCCTTGCTTCCCGAAAAATTGCAGCCGACCTTGTAAAAACACGTAGAGCAGAACCTCTCCGCGAACCTTAGCGATTGACGTTGACCGTCCACAAACAAGCCTCGTTGTCAGTTCTTAGCCGTCCAGGCTTCCCTGTGCTGAATTCATAACTGGCGGCCCGAGTTACCAACTTAACGGCCTCTCTCCAGATCGCGTGCACAGTGGTGACCTTACGAAATCAAGTGCAAGAATTCCTGCTTTCTACCTTCCTCGCGCCAGCACCGCTTCGTCTGGTTCAGTCTAGGAACCGCAAGTCTGAGCAGATCAGCGGCTGTTAGTGCGTGGCACTATTTCATACGGCACTATTTTAGCATCTGGCGAGTCTTTGATCGTTCTAGTCTTTGATCCTTATGTATCGTGCAACAAAGTTTGTACGTAAGATTTCTCGATTAAGTTCCACACGAGGTTGTCAAATTGGCTTACGTTCGGCGGTATTGCCTTCTTCAGAGCCTGAAAGGATCGAAGCAATTTATGACTACCCGACCAAAAGTCTCCACTACCCCACTAAAGTTCGAGAACATTACCTAATCGCAAGAGGGGGCACTCACTGCAACACAGTCCGATCTTCGAGACCAGCGAGCCGGCAGTAGGACCTCCTCGGACTGTTCCTCATTCAGGGTCACTCTTGGAAGGCCATCCTTATATAAGGTCTCAGCTCCCGCGTTATTGTGACGCATTCCTCCGGTTCATTTCGGTTGCTGACCTCAAGTTCAAAATGCCGAGGGTTTTGCGTGCAGATGTCTGCGATTCTCGCGCCAAGACCCTGACCTCGACCCCAAAATCGTCCCCGTCATGGACTTGAACCCTGTGGGCCCCTAAGGCAGTCGACAAACGTGACCTACTTTTGCCGTCCAGGTGCTCCTTCACCCTCACGCTGATCGGCCTCGATGTTTCACCGATGTACTCATCCCCGCAACTGCAACAGGTGATCTTGTAGACCACCCCCGAGATGGTACAGTCGCCCTCCCTGCCAGTCGGGCAGACTACGCAATTGGGGGTTGTACATAGACGATCATATAGCCGATTCCTAACCAGGCGACGCTTCAGATTAGTGGGTGGCACATTTACAATGACCACTGTGCTTTCCAAGCCAGACCTCCCAAGCACTTCCTGATGGAAGTGCTGACTTCCTCAGAGACGTAGGGTAAAATGAAAGGGACTTTTCCGTCTAGCAAATCACTGCTACGTCCGCTATTTCTGGCTCTATGGGAGGTCGCTGGGGCTTCGTAGCCATTGAGGGCAGCAATTTCGCGTGCCAGCTTTAGGGACTCCTTTCGCTCTTCCTCTCCCGAACAGACCTTCGCCGCTGTTCGAAACATGTTCCTCACGACAGCTCGCTTGGTCTGCAGAGGGTGAGCGGACTGGCAAGTGGACGATAATGTTCTTATTGCTAGGCTTTCTATACCATTTCGTATAAAGCGTGACACTCTTGATCTTTCCTGGATGTTACGAAAAGGTAGCCAATTCTCGGATGGTTTTTCGTGTCAGCTTAATGTGCTCAGACTGTGTGTTGAGAAGTTCGAAGCACATGTCCATCTCTTCCTGTGTGGAGCAGATCACAAAGCAGTCATCAACATAGCGACTGTAGAGCAAGGGGCGGTGTTCTAAAACGGGCGCTTCTATTTTGGCATAAAGTTGCCCCTATTGCTACGCCTCTGATCTGCTCGTAGTACCTCCCCGCCCACCTAAAGATGTTGCAACCGAGGCACACTTCTAGTAGCACCATTATTTGGCTGATAGATAGCCCATACATATTAATGGTGCTGTGGTGCTGAGTTAGGAGCTCAAATAGGGCTTCCATCGCAGCACCGTTACTTACATTCGTATAGAGGGCCTCTACATCAAATGATTCCATAACGCAAGCGCCATTCAGGCGGCAGTGCATGGAGATGTTCCAGGAACATTTGAGTATTGGTTAGGTGGGCTGGTATGTGCTTAAGTAGTTGCACCAATATA